AACCCAGCAGGAATTGGAGAAGATGCTAGATGAGGAACGAGAAAGCAAGAAGGTTTTAGCATCTGAACTGTTGATGGAGAAAGAAGCCAAGCAGGAGTTAGAGAAGGTACTTGCCCAAGAAACCGAGGTGAAGCATCGATTAGAATCTGATAATGCTATGGAGAGAGAAGCTAAGCAGGAGCTAGAGAGGGCTCTTGGTGAAGCAAAGGAAACAAAACAAGAATTAGAGAACACCCTAGTTGAGGAAAGCGAAAGCAAGAAATCGTTACAATCTGAGTCATTGTTGGCAACAGAAGCCAAAGAGGCGTTAGAGAAGATACTTGCTGAATTGAATGAAGCCAGGCGGGGACTAGAAAATGCCTTAGTTGATGAGAAGGAAAGCAAACAAGAGGTGGAGAAGACCTTGAGGGAGGAGAAAGATGTGAAAGAGGCATTGAAAAATGAGCTTTCTGTAGAAAAAGATTCCAAGGTGCAACTAGAGAAGGAACTTGGAGAAGAAAAGGAAATCAGGAAGACAGTGGAGGCAGAGCGTTCTGCTATAAATGAATTGAAACAGGGACTGGAGAAGCAGCTTGCAGAAGAGAAAGAAGCCAAACAGGATCTGGGGAAGCAACTTACTGAGGAGAAAGAAGCTAAACAGGGACTAGAGAAACAGCTTACTGAAGAAAGAGAAGCCAAACAGGGACTGGAGAAGGAGCTTACTGACGAGAGAGAAACTAAAGAGGAACTGGAGACGATCATAGTGGAGGAGAAAGATGCAAAAATAAAACTAGAGAAAATACTAAGCCAGGAGGGAGATTCCAAACATGAATTAGTGACGATGTTGGCAAAAGAGAGAGAAACCAAGCTGGAATTACAGATGGCTCTTGTTGAAGAGACTAAAGCTAAACATGTATTAGAATCAGAGGTTTCTACAGAGAAAGAAGCCAAGCAAAACCTAGAGAGAGCTCTTGCTGAGGAGAAAGAAATCAATCAGGGATTGGAGAATGTTCTATCTATTGCAAATGAAACTAAGCATGAAATAGAGATGACCCTCGTCGAGGAAAGAGAAAACAAGAAAGCTTTAGAGTCTGAGCTGTTGCTGGAGAGAGAAGCCAAGCAGGAACTAGAGAGGGCTCTTGCTGAAGCAAAGGAAACCCAACAAGACTTAGAGAACACCCTAGTTGAGGAAAGCAAAAGCAAGAAATCGTTACAATCTGAGTTATTGTTGGCAACAGAAGCCAAAGAGGGGTTAGAGAAGATATTTGGTGAATTGAATGAAGCCAGGCGGGGACTAGAAAACGCCTTAGTTGATGAGAAAGATAGAAAAGACGAGGTGGAGAAGGCCTTGAGTGAGGAGAAAGATATGAAAGAGGCATTGCAAACTGGGCTTTCTATAGAAAAAGATGCCAAGCTGCAACTGGAGATGGAACTTGGAGAAGAAAAGGAAATCAGGAAGACAGTGGAAGCAGAGCTTTCTGCTGTAAATGAACTCCCTCATCGCATAGTATTTTCTCTAGTTTTATTTTTGCATCTCTCTCCTCAACTAGGATCGTCTCCAGTCCCTGTTTGGCTTCTCTCTCTTCAATAAGCTGCTTATCCAGTCCATGTTTCAACTGACAAACATGGATTAATGACGATGTTGGCAGAAGAGAGAGAAGGCAAGAAGGAGCTAGAGAGAGCTCTTTCTGAAGTGGAAGATACCAAACAGGAATTAGTGAGTGAACTATTAAATGCAAATGATACCAAGCAGGAATTGGAGAAGACCCTGTTTGAGGAGAAAGAAGTAAAGAAACTGTTTAAATCTAAGCTTTCCACTGAGAGAGAAGCTAAGCAGGAGCTAGAGAGGGCTCTCGTTGAAGTAAAGAAAACAAAGGAAGAATTAGAGAATACCCTATCTATTGTAAATGAAACAAAACAGAAATTGGAGATAACCCTGGCTGAGCAAAAAGAATACAAGATGGCTTTAGAGTCTGAGCTATTGCTGGAGAAAGAAACCAAGCATGAGTTAGAGAAGGTACTCACCCAAGAAACCAAGGTGAAGCATAGATTAGAATCTGATAATTCTGTGGAGAGAGAAGCCAAGCAAGAGCTAGAGAGGGCTCTTGATGAAGCAAAGGAAACCAAACAAGAATTAGAGAAGATCTTGGTTGAGGAAGGTGAAAGCAAGAAATCATTGGAATCTGAGTTATTGTTGGCAAAAGAAGCCAAAGAGGGGTTGGAGAAGATACTTAGTGAATTGAATGAAACCAGGCAGGAAGTAGAAAAGGCCTTAGTTAATGAGAAGGAAAGCAAACAAGAAGTGGAGAAGGCCCTGATTGAGGAGAAAGATGTGAAAGAGTCATTGGAAACCGAGCTTTCTGTCGAAAAAGATGTCAAGGTGCAACTAGGGAAGGAACTTGCAGAAGAAAAGGAAATCAGGAAGAGAGTGGAGGTCGAGCTGTCTGCTGTAAATGAATTAAAACAGGGACTAGAGAAGCAGCTTACTGAAGAGAAGGAAGCCAAACAGGGACTGGATAAGCAGCTTATTGAAGAGAAAGAAGCCGAACATGGACTAGAGCAGCAGCTTACTGAAGAGAGAGAAGCTAAGCAAGTACTGGAGAGGCAGCTTACTGAAGAGAAAGAAGCCAAAGTAGAACTAGAGAAAATACTGAGCCAGGAGGGAGACACCAAGCATGGATTAGTGACGATTTTAGCAGAAGAGAGAGAAGCCAAGCAGGTATTAGAGAGAGCTCTGTTTGAAGAAAAGGAAACGAAACAGCAATTAGTGAATGATCTATCAAATGCAAATGAAACCAAGCAGGAATTGGAGAAGACTCTCGTTGAGGAAAAAGAAGTGCAACTCGTCTTAGAATCTGAGCTTTCTACAGAGAGAGAAGCCAAGCAGGAATTAGAGAATGTCCTGTCTGTTGCAAATGAAGCCAAACGGGAATTAGAAATGACTTTGGTTATGGAAAGAGAAAGAAAGATATCGTTGGAATCTGAGTTATTGTTGGCAAACGAAGCCAAAGAGGGGTTAGAGAAGGTACTTGGTGAATTGAATGAAGCCAGGCGGGGACTAGAACAGGCCTTGGTTAATGTGAAGCAAAGCAAACAAGAAATGGAGAAGGCCCTGAGTGAGGAGAACGATGTGAAAGAAGCATTGGAAACTGAGCTCTCCGTGAAAAGGGAGTCATTGGAAACTCAACTTTCTGTGGAAAAAAATGCCAAGGTACAATTAGAGAACGAACTTGCAGAAGAAAAGGAAATCAGGAATACGGTGGAGGCAGGGCTTTCTGTTGCAAATGAAGTACAACAGGAGCTAGAGAGAGCTCTTGCTGAAGAGAAGGATGCGAAAGAGCAATTAGTGAGTGATCTATCAAATGCAAATGATAAAAACCAGGAATTGGAGAATACCTTGTTTGAGGAGAAGGAAGTAAGGCAAGTGTTGGAATCTGAGCTTTCTACAGAGAGAGAAGCCAATCAGGAACTAGAGAGAGCTCTTGCTGAAGAGAAGGAAACTAAACAAAAATTAGAGAATACTCTAGTTGAGGAAAGCGGAAACAATAAATCTTTGGAATCTGAGTTATTGTTGGCAACAGAAGCCAAAGAGGCGTTAGAAAAGATACTTGGTGAATTGAATGAAGCCAGGAGGGGACTAGAACACGCATTAGTGAATGAAAAAGAAAGCAAACAAGACGTGGAGAAGGCCCTGATTGAGGAGAAAGATGTAAAGCAGGCATTGGGAACAGAGCTTTCTGTAGAAAAAGATGCGAAGGTGCAACTGGAGAAGGAACTTGATGAGGAAAAGGAAATTAGGAAGATGGTGGAATCAGAGCTTTTTCTTGCAAAAGAAGTTAAACAGGGGTTAGAGAAGCAACTTTCTGAGGAGAAACACGCCAAACAGGGACTGGAGAATGCCTTATCTATTGCAAATGAAAGCAAGCAGGAGTTTGAGATGACCCTGATTGAGGAAAGAGAAAGCAAGAAGGCATTAGAATCCCAGCTATTGCTGGAGAAGGAAGCCAGGCAAGAACTAGAGAGCTCTCTTGCTGAAGCAAAGGAAACCAACCAGGAATTAGAGAAGGTCATATCTAATGCAAATAATACCAAACAGGAATTGGAGGTGATCCTAGTTCAGGAGAGAGAAAGCAAGAAGGATTTACAGTCTAAGCTATTGCTGGAAAAAGAAGCCAAACAGGAGACAGAGAGTGCTCTTGCTGAAGAGAATGACGCCAGGCAAGTATTAGTGAATGATCTATCAAATGCAAATGAAACTAAGCAGGAATTGGAGAAGGGTCTGTTTGAGGAAAAAGAAGTGAGGCAAGTCTTGGAATCTGAGCTTTCTACAGAGAAAGAAGCCAAGCAGGAACTAGAGAGAGCTCTTGCTGAAGGGAAGGAAACGCAAGAGCAATTGGTGAGTGAGCTATCAAATGCAATAGGAACCAAGCAGGAATTGGAGAACACCCTGTTTGAGCAAAAGGAAGCGAAGAAAGTATTTGAATCTGAGCTTTCTACGGAAAGAGAGGCCAAACAAGAACTAGAGAGGGTGTTATCTCATGAGAAAGAAAGCAAAAAGGAATTAGAGAAGGCCTTGATTGAGCAGAAAGATGCAAAGCAGGCATTGGAAACTGAGCTCTCTGTAGAGAAAGATGTCAAGCTGTTGATGGAAAAAGAACTTGCAGAAGAGAAGGAACTTAAAACGGCATTAGAATCAGAGCTTTCTATTACAAATGAATTGAAGCTGGCATTAGAGAAGCAACTTGCTGAAGAGAGAAATGCCAACCAGGAATTACGGAATACTCATAGCATGATAGAAGAAAGATTACAGGCAAAAAGCAACACAGATATATCTAAGGAGGTAACAGATTACGTCAAACAAGACACTTCTGAATTGAAACTAGATAAACAGATTGTCACTGAGACAGTCATCGCGGAAGCAAAACTGAATCTTCAGAACCCCACACAAGTTACTTCAGACATACTGCAAAAATCAATAGCAAATGAAGAAAGACTCAGCACCGACTCAACAAAGGCCACGAAAGTACCTGTTTGTAAGATTGAAGACAATATGCATCTCAAGGAGAGATTGGCAATAGAGATGATGGCAAAACAGCATCTGGAAGATATGCTGGCCAGTCAACAGCAGGCGTTGGGCGATCTGAAACAGAGGATTGACTCGGAGGTTACCAAAACGCAGCAACTGCAAGTGGAAATGGCAGAAGAGACCGCATCGAAGAATCGGCTGTCCGAGTGGGTTGCTGAACTAGAAGCAACAAGGTCAGCTCTAGAGGAGGAGCTTGATAAGGAGAGAAGCGTAATCAACGATCTTCGGGAGGTGAACAGACACCTGAACGAGACGTTGGTCAACGAACAGAAGCAGAACAATGAGGCGGTAAAGATCCGTAAAGAGTTGCAGCAAGAGCTCGATTCATCCATGACGCAAATAGAAGCGATGGAGTCGGAAAGCAGCGAGCACGTCAAGAAGTTGAATGAAGAAATAGGAAATCTCAGAGGGCAAATCTGGGAACAGGAGCAAGATATAAGCAGCAGTAAGAATGCTAGCATTAAGCTTACTGGACAGAGGGAAGTTTCCCTAGCTCAGATATCTAACCTGCAGGCAGCAATGCGAGAGTTGGAGGAAAAGAATAAAGACTTAGAGACGCAGCTGGAAAACAAAACAATGGTAGCCAGCGACTTCAAAGAAAAGATGCTAGAACTAAACGGAAAATACAGCAAGGCTAAGACTGATGTTCAGTCCATGATTGATGCTGTTGCTGATATGGAGAGGAAAAATGAATCCCTTGATGGTCAGCTAAGTGAGGCAGTGACGCTAAATAGTGAATTAAAAGAACGATTGGACGAATTGAGTGAGAAATACCACCGATCTAAGTCTACAATCAAAGAGCATCAGGCAGAAATTGACTCGTTGCAAGTGTCCTTGCTGGATGTCAAGAACACGAACATTGGTCTTCACAGTGAACTTAACGAAGCACAATCGAAGATCGAGGAGCTTAATATTGACATTGAAGGATACACCACTAGACTTGCGATGAGTAAGAGTGAACTTGATCAAGCCAACCATTTGCTCGAGTCGCTCTCTGACCAGTTGCATAAATCTACAAAGGCGGATAGTGATCTTCTTGTATTTAGACAGGAGGCCGAGCACATCAAAATAGAACTGGAGGCTTCACAGAAGCAATGCAAGCAGCTTCTCTCTCAACTATCAGCAAACGAGGGCGTCATTGCCGTTGCTAATGATAAGGTTGTCGTTCTGAGGTCGTGTCTAGAAGAGCAAGAGAAACTGTTCGTTGAAGTCAAGGATGATTTCACTGCGTGGAAGCAGCAGGTAGAAACTGAAACCACTGCTATTAAGCAGGCTCTCGCGAGCAAGGAAGCAGAGCTGAAACATTCAGAAGCTAAACTAGCGGGAGCTGACACAGCGAGTGATACGCACTTGGAAGACGGCGGGGAGATGTGTTCTAGGAAAGAGTGCCAAGAACAATTACACCTACTCCGCACACAGCACACTGATGTACACAATGAGCTCTTGTTGCTTAAGAATACTTTGACTGAGAGGGAGCTGTTGTGTGGTTCCATTAATGCTGAGCTTCTCGCAACTCGTCAAGAATTAGAATGCATGAGAGAAGTGAAGGGTGAGCTAGCTATCCGTGTAAGCACCTCCAACAATGAGCCGGAAAGAACTGGTGACGTGAGTTCAGCCACACACGAACGTAATGCAACAACAACGACGAAGGGTGGTATGCCAGAGAAAGACATCGAAAAACCGTCTTCCGAGATTCGCAAAGAAAATGAAAGACGTGAACGTAAGGAATCGGATAAAATGGAACAATGTGCCCTTGGCGTGACTCCGGAGGTTGAGCTGCTGCATGAATCTGAGAGCAGGCAAGAACAATCTACAGCAGAAGACAAGGGACTTGACAGACAGCTTGAGGCTACACGACACAACTTACAGATGTCGACCATCAAAAACAAGAAAATGCTCGTCAAGCTGAAAATGTTCAAGGAAAGGAATGACAAATACGCCGATGAGATTAAGGAACTTCAGCAGGAGAATATAAACATGCGGCAGTGCGTGAACGATTCCGACACCAAGCTACAGCAGCTGCAACACCTTATGAACCTGCTAGAGACAGAGAAAAGCAATGCGTTAATCAATCTCCAAGCAGAGTTACAAGAGAAGATAACCACAGCAGAGCTCGAGAAAGACCGGTTGAAACAGCGGACAAAAGCGATCGAGAACGATAACATGATGCATCAACGCAGGTTGGAAGTTGAAATCGATAAAATCCAAGGTGACAGTATCGTATTGCGGCATTATGTCCAGGAAATATCGCAACGAGCGGAGAAAGAAGGTTTGATTCTTCAGTTAACTTCTGTATCTAGTCCTGTGCTGTGTGCTGATGAAGGCAAGGTAGAGGAACCATTCTCGCAGCAATGGTCTACAATAACTAGTAACATAGCTTATGTCAAAGCAGGGCTAGAACTGAATATGTCAATATTTACCGAAGCTGCTGCCCTCAGAAAAGATAAAGAAAAATTGGAAAGTCATTGTAAAAGCTTAAGAAGCCAGATTGTAGATTTGAAAACTATCACAAATCAAATGGAAACATTAGAAACTGACCAGTACACGAGTAAACGCCTGGAAGAACGATTGGGGGAACTTAGACAACAGTCATCTATGCTGGAATGTGATAACACGGAGTTTCAAACTCTATTAGAAAAGTCCACAGTAGAGAAGTACAAGCTGGAACACCAGATAAAGGTACTATGGAAAGAAAACCAGCGGGTAAAACTAACAGATGATGTAAAGGAAAACATACATCCTACTGAATCTAAAGACCATCTTCCACTAGTATCCGCTTACACTGACGACGGTCAAACGGAAACGAAAGATATATTGATACAAACTGATGAATATGTTGGCAATGATCCTGAACTGCAAGAAAAATATGACGAACTATTGTTATCGTACAAAGATATCCGAGAAGAAAGCAACACGTCAAACGCGAAAAACTGGGAAATTGAAGGCGAGAATTCTGAACTGTGTGACGAAATCGTTGAGCTTCAGGAAAAGATTGCGGCGCTCACGGAGAAATTGCAGTGCAAAATCACAAGTGAAGCTTCCACAGAATCATTGATACAGCAGAGTGAACCTGATAAGGTGCTGCTGGTTAATGAAAGTGAAGAATCAATGACATCGGTGCAAACAACGTCTGATGTGATGGAATCGACATTCAAGAGAGAAGACGTCTCTGGACCCATGCATCTTGTAGAGACAGAACGACAGTCTTCGGCCCCTCTGAGTGAGTTTACGTTGGAGAATGTTGCAGCAAACGCTGATGTTAGTGTTCCGGTAAACGCATTAGATGTCAACAGAGTTGACTTCGGCATACAAGTAGAGTCATCGCTTGTCACCCAATCTGAGCTTGGTACCCAGGTCGATTTCCTAAAGTCCATCACAGCTGACACGAGCACGCAAGTAGATCCGGTAAACGTCAGCAAAATCGACTTCGGCGCGCAAACAGACTTGGAAACAAACGCCGGACAGCTTACCGCACACAAACAACTTGTCCAGCAAGCCCAGGAGTCGCTGCCACATCACGCGAGGTCCGTAACAACTGAGACTGCTTCCACGGAGAACCTTATTAGCAATGCCAACCTTCCTGTCGCCTCACACACGGAGACAGGATCACCAGGGACTTCCCCGCAGAGAAGTCCGGAGAGGAGCCGCAGCATTGTCGGGGAGAGTTCCTCCTCCGCGCACGACCCGATAGAGTCCGTGGCGCGCATGGAGCGAATGTCCGAGAAGATCCTTCGTCTGCAGCACGAGCGTGCGGCCGCGATTGACCGCGAACACGAGCTCGTCATGCAGAGACACCTGGCGGAGGACCGGGCAGCGGCGCTGCAGGCACAGCTCGACCGCGAGAATCTCGCTCGGCAGCGCCATCTACCAGCGGGAAACCGAACGACGCCCGACGAGCTATGGACCACTCGCGACGCGGCGCCGGGCGACGAGACGAGACGCCGGCGCCACCTGTCTGCCTCCTCAGCGTCGAGCGTCGGCTCGACAGGGGGCGCTGGCGGGGAGAGGTCCTCCGGCAGGGACGTGAGGTTCCCGGCGTTTGACAGCTCACCCGTCCATCGACGGCCCGGCGACCAATGCCCGTCCCCGCCGGACCCTTTTCCGTCGTCGTCCGAAACGGATGAGGCGAAGCTGAGGCGGCGGCGAGAGGAGACGCGGGTCGGCGACGAGACGAGGGCGAGACGGCACGCGTGGGAAGCGAGCTTCGACCAGGTTCGTCCGCTCGCGTCGTGTGATGTGCGAGAGCATGCTCCCTTGTTTGACGAACTACAGACGTCTATACACGGCTTGCATCAGCTTAATCTCAGGTAGTTGTTTTATTTGATTTTAATTTTTTCCGCATTTGATTTTTATTTTTCTGCATCGATGTATTCGTCATGTCTGCAGTCGTTTTTTCAGTTGATCAGCTGTTGCTGTAGCATGTTGTTTGTAGATCGTTGTTACGGATCGGAATTTAACAGCTGACTGACCGCTAGCGTATCTCGGTAAACTGAACTAAAGTGTGTGCTTCAAGAAGTTGCCTCAACCGTAAATAATGTCTTGGTCACAAATAATTAAAACCGTTTTTTGATATTTGGATTCCTCCACCGAACACCTGTCATATCTGCAGGTTTTTAGAAGGTCGGTGACCTCTAATTTCGTGCTTACAGACAGTGACACAATCTAATAGATGGCTTGATTTAACTTGTGCCATAACCACTTAGAACATTCTTGGTCCTGATTAATAAAGTATTAGAATTGTAAGCTGGATATCCATAATATATTCCATGGCTTGTCAGTATGTGTCATTCAGCTGTTATTCTGATCAGAATTCTTTCAGTAGATTAGTCCTAGTTGTAGTAATAGTTGTAGCTGCATCGAGATTTTAGCACTTTCAAAATCGTTTCAATTACTATTATTAATTATTAGGGGTTGGGTGCATGGTCGTAGGCCGTGTACATACGCGTTTGTCAGTGTATTTATAGACCGCCGTATAATTATGTGTGTATGTGTGTATGTGTGTACAAATCTATAGGCTGCGTGTGTGTGTGCACCTAACTGTGTGTATGTGTCTGAGTTTCAGTGAGGAGCGTGTGCAGAAATAGATTCTTTATCATAAACATGAAATCATAACATGACGCTATTAAAGTACAATTATTATAATATTCTACACTATATTTTGTTGTCGAATTACATAATTTGTGTTTGTCGTCTTTAATAAAAATATATATATACCAATTCTACATTAATCTGTACATAGCTGCAGTTAGTGTATCCATTCTGCATTCCTGGACACCACGGTAATGAATATAATCTGTATATTAAATTTAATTGCATGTATATTTGCACTGCAGTTACTGTATTCTATGTTCGTATGAATATAATCAGGAATGAATAATAATAGATCTAAATAGATGGAAAAAAAATTATTATTATTCACTCCTGATATATACTCTGTACATAGGTTATATCGTGTGTATATTTGCACTGCAGTTACTGCATCCATTCTGCCTTCCTGGACACCGTGGTTACGAGATATACCGATACTGACCTCTTCTCATTCTCTTCTCCTGACTTCTCATTCTCTTCTCCTGACTTCTCGTACTATAGGTGCGAGAATCTGACGGTGCAGCTGAACAGACTCTACGAGGAGAGGGCGGTGCTGACCAGCCAGCTGTCCAGCATCACCCATACCCTGCGCGACAGGGAGGCAGTCATCAAGCAGCTACACGAAGACCGCACTGCACTTGCACAGCAGCTGAGTTTGAGCACGCAGGGTAAGCGGCTTGTCCAACGAAAAGTGCGACGAGTAAACCGGCGAGTACTTCGTAGATGATATTTTTGGCAAATATTCAGTGTCCTCTTGCTTATCTCGATGTATAGCTCTACTACTCGCTCTATCTCTCTCTCTCTCTTTCTTCCTCTCTCTCTTCCTCTCTCTTTCTCTCTCTCTGTCTCTCTCTCTCTCTCTCTCTCTCTCTC